GAAAGGGAGTACAAGCTAAAAGTGGTTTGCATAACGGCAAAAATTAATTTTTTAACACGCACACTGCCAGAATAAGATAAAAAGGAGATGCACTAAGAAGAAAGGTGTTTAGTACTTTTTGTAGAAAAAGTTATTATTATTATACATAGCATTGTAAGAACCAGTATAAATAAAAACTTCCTTTTTCTGTTCTTTCTTTTGTCTCAGCGTCAACCTTCCAAATCTGAGTACAGACCACCCATTTTCTCTCAGTGCCTGAAGAGATACAGCAAAGGAGAAACCCGCTGCGCGTTGACACTGATTTTGACGCATTGCTCCCAAAGGATGTGACCCAAAAAGTCAGTGCGGCAAATGAGCAAATGTAGGCGGCGGCAGAAAGGGAAGCGGCTACAGAAACCGGTTAAGTGTTCGCCAGTCTGGAGTGCTGGAAATCTGAGCACGGAATATGAGAGATGTCGGGTTCACAGCAAGCGGAGGAGTGATGTGCCAGGGGAAGGGTAGGATGGAATCTAGGATGGGTTCTCGCCTAGTCGTTAGCCGTGGTTTTTAATTTGCGACCGACTACTGGGAGGTGAGAACCTGACAAAGTGAAAGCCAGAGACAGACCCTGTGCAGTGGCAATCAGACTGAGAAGGGAGATCGTACCGGCATTTTAATATGCAGATTGCAGGGCCTCAAAAAGAAAGTTATGTCGGGGGCAGGAAGTCTCTATATCTTTGAGCTGGTTCGCACAAATCCAAATCCCAGAACCACCAATTGATAAAGGCGAACTGGTTCAATGCCAAGCCAGATGCTGGGTTAAAAACACCAAAGAATACACAAGGCAAAACACGGGCCCGTCGAAACTGAATGCCCCAGCCAAGAAGATTCGCTGCGAGCGTCGCACAAGTGCTACACAGGGAAAATGCAAAGGAAAAATGAGAAAAAAAAAAAAAGGGGGAAAACCATGTCAGTTTCATGCTCGCGGCCGCACTTAACATTATTTCTGCTGCACCAGCTACAAGAATCCACTTCTTTTGTGGAGAAACAACAACAACAACAACAGCAGCAGCAGCAGCATCAACAACAACAGCCAAGGCAGCGAAAACCGTGCTCGTTCATATAACGCATACGCAGCGTGGTACCTGCGCCAGCAGGTCAAACTTAAATATTTAATGAAGCGCTTAATGTGCAACTTCCCGTCCTCTCCACAACTTTAACCCTTAAGCAGCCCTAATTGCCGAGACCCACTGTTGTTGGCCACCCACCCCAACCCTTTTTTTCTTTTATTTTTCTGGTCAAGCTGAGAAAAAACCTGCAAATATTTTCAACAAATTTTTGCCTAATGCAAAAAATATTTTATTGTGCTGCCGGCCTTTTGCAAGGGGGTGGTGTACAGGTGGGGCTGCTCAGTACCATAAATTTGTGCAGGCCAAAAAAAAAAACGTAGTACAACGGTGGATTCTCTGGGCAAGCAGCCCCGAAATATTTGCGGCGGTCCTCTAAGCCTGGCATGCGGTTGGCCAGGCATGTGCAGCATTTCAAGCAGCGCACTTCACACAGAGCCAAAACAATAATACACACACACACATTTACACATACACACACACACCCACACACTCTCGGGCAAACAAAGGATGTGAAGGCAGCCAAAGCCATACAATTTTTCGGACGACCAACGAAGGTAACTAGATGCAGGTGCTGGCTTAGTGATGTCATGATCTGGAACTACGGCTGAATCAGGATATAAATAATTGGCCAGGGAGCTCATAGAACCTTGCAAGACCGATAAGGAATTGATAGAGCAAAGTTAAATGGGTGTTCATGAATCGAATTGAAAGAGGATTATAAAAACACTCTAAAGACTGGGGATTTTAAGTCTGAGGGTTTACTGACTTTTTTATTGACAGTTTAACTGAATTTTTATTCTAAAAATCAGAAAAATATTCTAATTACTAAATAAATTTAATAACTTAATGTTATAATTGTTTTTTAACATTCATAAAAACTAAATTCACTAATAACTTACTGACCTAATTGTTGGGAACCAGCTGACTTGGCCAACACTGAGCTGCTCTGGTGACAAAGCATTAAAACCTGCTGGCAAGCGGTATTCTCCAGCAAGCCAGGCCAGAACAATACCATGGTTAGAGCCTGTTCAACATTTAAAGTGAACAATGAAATATGCCCAGACTGGCTCAGATTCAGACGCAGTCTGGAGCCCTCTCTCTCTCTCTCACTGGCTTAAACGTTACCCATACGCCCCCCTGGCCGGACGATTTACTTATTTACATCAAAGCTCGAGTCAAGGTGTTCTGGGCTGTGTACACTGGCGTTGCGTTGTGGCACTCACAGGCGATGCAGCCTGCCTACCAATTACCCACTAAACCACCACCCATCATCCTGTTTCTCACCCTTAACGCACAATCACACACGCAGTGCGAGAAGAGGGATGATGGGAGATCCTTGCGACAGCAGTGGGCGCGATAAACTTGCAAACGTAACAAAATTCGGTCAACACGTTGGCCAAGGCGACGATGAGCGTGGCCGTCTACGCTTTTGGTGGTACTGCCCACATGTGGCCATAATTTTTAAGCGCCAAATGAGCGGCCATCCATTGGCCATGATGTCTGCTGGCATTTGCCATTGCCGTTTGCCATTTGTTCCGGCCAGTGCGACATTGCCCTGAGCCAGTCCGACACGAATACCTTTGGGTCCTGGCCAAATTACAAAATGCTGTTGCTGTAGTTCAAGCTGAAGCTGTAACCATCGGATATGTGAATGGAGGTGGCGATTTCTAACCGTAGTTGGTGGCCTGCTTGGGACTTACAGCTGCACATTAAAATTTAATTAACTTAACTTAATTGAGAATGAACGCATATAAATCGTCAAGAGTTCTCAGCTTGCTTGGTACCAAAAATACATTAGCCTTAATTTCGATTCATTTCATTTAACTTTCTCTGCACGAAATAATCAAAGCCAGACATTGATAACCCTTTCTAGCCATTTGGCCAAAAGCAAAATGGATATTGTCAGCAGCCATTGGGCCACAAATAAAATAAAGTTAGCTTAGGTCGTCCAACACTTGTAAATATTGTCACGCACTTTCTCAAATACAGCTACGTGTGGAAATACCTTAAAATACATATATATGTAAATGGCTGCCAAGGCTCAATTGCTGGCAATAGATCAATACTAAACAGAATATTCTCTTATTTAGGTTTTTTGTATAGAAAAACCTGCAACATTACAATTAAAGTTTATATGTTAAATTTTCATTGAGTTGTGTATTCAAGCGGAAAGAGTAATGAATATTTGAGCATTGTTCACAGTTTATTAGTTTCATTAAGCTATGGCGTTTCATCAAAGTAATCTATTTCTATATTAGATCTAAAAAATGTTAAATAAATACAAACAAGTTAATAAACAAATACACTGCAAATACTCAAACCGTCACTTAAATTCTAACCAATAAAAACGTTGTTGGCGTAGGACAAATTGCTTTTGCAAATATGGCCACGTGTTGGCATACAAATAAATACGGTAACTGGCCAATTTGCCTTGGCCAAAATGCGACTTAAATGCATTTTCAACAGCAGGGGGAGTGGCAACAAAAAAAGAAATACAATCGCATGTCGCACAAAGTGGCAGGACACACATTTTGTCAAAAATTCGCCCAAAAGCAGACAAATGAAAGCCAAACAAAAAGGAGAAACAAAAACAGCAAAGATAAAGAGAGAGAAAAAGGATGTCGTAAAGGGAGGGGGGGTGAGAGGGTAGAGAAACCACAATCGAGACCATTATCAATTACACGCACAGCAGGACACGGCGGCAGGACACAGAAACAGAAAAAACAGGAAGATGGAAAACAGAGGCAAAAGCCAGGGTAATGGGAAACTCAAACGAAATGAAAATACGCATAAAATTGCAATTTACATCAAATCCATTTGCACCCATATGTACAAGCACGCATACAGTGATACGAAAATAAAATTCATTCACACGCATAATGAAATTCGCTCTCTTTTTCGGGCTCTCTTTGGCTGAAAGTGCAGAGGGATAACAAAAGGCATGCCAAAATAAGGACAACAATGTTTCGAAATAAACAAACAAATGTTACTGGACGCCAAAGGGAGGGGCAGTTGGGCGACCGAAAAGCGAACGGGGGTGTGGCAAGGACGGGCTGTTGAGAGGGTGGCGATTCCCCGATTAAGCACACGCATTCATCGCCGCTGGAGAGTTTTTGGGCCAGAGCAAAATCCACGCCCTATATGTAAATTATTAGCCAGGCCGCTTTTTTTTGTCCGCCCAACTCGCGGCGACACAAGTCCCCTGGAGTTTCTGGCGTTCAATTTGCGGGCGGCTGAGAAATGTTGGCCAAAAAACCGGAGAGACATCCCAAATACCAAAAAAAGAGATACCCAGTGGTGAAAGAGTGAGAGTTTGGGTAAGGATGCTCTCGGCTTTGTAGACTTTTGCCATGTGGCTCAAAGTAAAACGCCCTTTTGGAGTTGCAGATAAGAGAGTGAGCAGCGAAGAGAGTTTGTTATTCTTATTCTGATGGTATTATAGAAACTCAAAATTAATCAAAATTAAATAAAAAGGGTTCATTTAAAAGGGGAAAATAACCTTCAAAAGTCAAAAAATAAACTCATTCTTTCTAGTCAAAAAGTATTGCCTAGCTGTAAGCTAACTGCCTAAAAGCATTGCCTACTTTCAGGCTCACACAAGAAATTACCAAACATGGTGGCTGCTTGAAAACCGAAAACCATTGCCTACTTACTGGCAGGCCAAAGGAGCTGACACTCGAAGAGAGCGAAAAAGACCTGTATCTCAGAGATTCAAATCCAAAGGGTGGCTGCACGCTCTTCGACTTTGTCGCTTTGTGGCCCAGCATGCGCAGAGCGGATGAGAGCGACGGGCGACTGCCACACGGCCACATCCCGAGCAGCATCCACTCCAAAGGACCAGCGGCGGCGGCCCCAGCTGCGAAAAAGTCTGCCGTGCAGCGGCGGCCATCAGTAGTTGCCTCAGAGCCCGCGGGTTGAAGAAATCGTACGCATCGAGCGAGTGACAAGCGCCGCGTCTCACCAAACAAAGAAAAGCAAAAGCAGAGCCCCCAAAAAAAAAACAAAAAAAAAAAAAAAATCATTTAAAAATAAATAAAATCTTAAAACAACTGAGAAAAACATAGAAAACCCTGCTTCTCTGACACAAAATCAAGGGCCAGTCCAACGAATATTTTGTAGTTCCCAGATAGATAAAAACCAAAAAGAAAAAAAAGAAACGCAACAAAATGCTGCCACGAATCGCAGGCAAATGAGCCCGCTAGCCAACGGCTCACATCTGCGGCTGCTGCAGAGCAGCGAGTCCGAGCCCGGTCCCGCATCCGCATACGCATACGCATCCACCTCCGCATTCGCATCCTCATCCGCATCAGCATCTCGCCGCGTCTCCCAGTGTGTGTGCCAGTGTTCAGCCAAAGCGGACCGCCAGCAATTGCAGTGTAAGGCGCCCGCCATTCGCATTCCAACAGTAAACTAATCCATCGAGCGTCGAGTGTCGCTTTTGAAAATTGAGTTTCGTTTCCGGTTCCGCCGCGTGTCGCTCAATCCGTTTTTGGCCAAGTCGGTCGGTTGGTCTGTTCCGGTCCTCAAAAAAGTCGGTCGGTCGTTCAGACATTTTGTGCTGCTCAAAAATTGATGCCACCAGCAGCAGCAGCAATAGGCAGCATCAGCATCGGCAGCCCTGTAATGTAAGTTACGGCGCCCCAATCCTACACCCAATCCCCTCTGAGCGCTCCCCTTTCAACACGAGGCTCCTAAAATGTGCTATATGATTCCTGCTTAACTGTTGCTCCGAACTGCGGCCACGTTCAACGCCCCAGCCAGGCAGACAGACCAAAAGACAGGCAGACAGGCAGGCTGGCAAACAGACAGGCAGACTCGCGGACGGACGGGCGGGCGGACGCAGAAACTGACAGGGGCATCGGAAATGTGTGTCAGTGTGCGAGCTCACTGTACTTGAGTATTGAGGCGAAGGCAAGCCCCATGTTCATGCCAGACCCATGTCCTGAAATGGTTAATAAAAAGTATTAAAAGTGATTTTGAGGATGATTTGTTAGTAATTAAAAAGAAATCCCTAATTCTTGTTCAGCTAAGAAAAGTAGTAAGTTATTTAGTTAAGAAAATGCAAGAATGTTTAGCTTTTGCTTAAAATAGTCTATTAGTCTATCCTTACTTAGTGAAACACTTTAACCTTCAAACTTAAATAAAAAGTACAAATTTCTCTTTTTACATTTTAGATTTAAAACATTCAGGTGTCTTTTTTGAAATGTCCTCCGCTATCTAGTAATTATATTCGTGCTAATTTAATCACAATTCAGTGACTCGTGTAAACAAATGTTGACTTCGCTAGGCTCACATGTCTGGGCTGCCTTTGTGTGTTGATTTTCTCGTTTTATTATTACCTCAAACGTTTTTCTCGTTTGCTCTAATGAATACGCTCCGACCTGTTATCCCAGTTTCGCCAGCCGCCTTCTTCAGTTGCCTCAGCTGCTGTCTCTTTCCCCGCCCCAGTCACCTGCTAACTGAAAGGTAGCACATTACCCATACGCCAGGTATACCAGCCAGCCAGCCAGCCAGGCAGTCAGTCAGTCAGTCAGTCAGTCAGTTAGACTGTCTCCTTTGGCTGGCTTTCCCTGCTTTTCGTTTTTCGCTTTTCGTTTCGTTTTTGTTTTCGTTGTTATTGTTTTTAACGCAAATTCCCACTCGCTTAGTTGCCTGTTCTGCCTTGTTCTTGTATGCACGCTGCTGCCATTGTCTTTGTCCTGACACACAAATGTAGCAATATATATATACAAGCTATATAATATATATATATACCCATCGCCATCGTCTTGTTGTTGCGCAAATATTTGCCTTTTTTGAAGTTGATTTTTGGTCTCCGTCTGAGCGCCTTTTGTTGCCATCTCAAGTTCTCAAGTTCTGGTCCCCCTCGGAAAAGGACCCACACCACGGCAATATGCTGATGAATCGTTGCTAAATTGAATATCGAGTGTTTATTTATATTGGCCGGCAAGTGTCACGCCCGCTATGCCACCGCCCAATCGCCAAGTTACCCGTGTCCGGCAGCTAGAGCTCTGCAAATAATTTGAAATTGATGTATTATCTCGGAGGGAACGTGGCACAATTGTCTCAGTCGATGACCCGAACGGTCTTCCTTTTCCACTGCAGCTCGCTTAAGTAGTTTGTGCAGCGCAAACAAAATTAAGCAAGTTGCAAGTTGCTGGGACAAAAGTTGCTGTCACAATTGTTATTTTAGCGTTGCGCAGCGATAGATAGAGAAGGAGAGTGAGGAAATTCGAGCAAACAATTTATAAAATAAACGAAGCCCTTTTGTCTGCAAGAGCAGGCATGGACTATGGAAATTCCCATTAAAGCTGCAGCTGCCCAATCAATATACAAATCAAGGAGAAACCAAACTTTTTATATCCAAACATTTTGTGCATTGCAGACGGCAATCTTTATTTATAACTGGGAAATCTGTCAGAGAGGGCAATTCGATTGAGGGGTGAGTCGCCATGAAATTGCTTTGTGGCTGAAATTTATCGCATTCTTTTTGGAAGACACAAATTCAATTTTCTGTTTCCGCCGTCTGGCTAAATATTTAAGCCAGCTCATTAGTCGGGATCCCCGGGGGAGCATGGCTTGGCCGGAACGTGCTACTGCATTCAATCTGGGCTTTAAGCGGCATCTCTCGAGTGCATTATGCTGTCCTCTGTGGTATCTTTCTGGGAGAAATCTGGGAGAAACCAGAATTCTGGATCCGCATCCGAGTCCGTTCATTGTGACGATGGCGATGCACTTAGCCGACCCGCAGTGCCTAAAGAGAAGGAGGACCCTTCATCCACCATTTTTTGTCCAGAGATTTTCCATCTTTTTTTTTTTTGAGCCAACTGCCCGCATTGCCGACTGCCTGTTTACTGTTCCCAGTCCCAGTCCGCTGGTCCTTTATGCTCCGCGACACACACACACACACACAGACAAAGGGACGCAGATAGAGGCACCCAGAGATGCCCAGAGATACGTGTATACTTCGATGTTGCTGTGGTGGTGCTGGCTGATGGACATTTGCTGGCAGCTCTTGTGCCTTCCTCGGGCTCGGGTCCGTCCCTTTATGCGCCACAAATGAAAATGCAGACAGACAACGGGCGCCAACCGACGACAGCGGCAGTAGCAGTAGTGGCAACAGCAACAGAAACAGCAACAGCAACAGCAACATCAGCAACATCGGCAGCAACGACAGCAACAACGTCTGACGATGACGTCGCATTTCTGGAGACAATGAAACAAACTGAACCCGGCACAGATCCCAGCCGAGTTCGTTGACAACTGTGTCTGCCACTCCTCGTCCTCCGTCAGCCATTCCCCTTCCAATCCCCTGTTTCTATTTATTTAACATGCATTTGAATTATGAGCCAACTGAAAGGAATACTAAGCCAACAAAACACAAAAAAAAACCAAGCAACTTTGGCTTTAATTCATAATTATTTTTATGTCAGCGCACTCATTAAGAGTTGCAAGCTTTTCATTCCATTTTCAACCCACTCTCTTTCTGTGCTCTGTGTTTTTTCCCACATTTTCCCATTTTCCTTTTGCTCTTTATCCTGGCTTTGTCATTTGCATTTCACATTTGGACTCCTTTTAGCATTTCAAATGCTCCCAACTGCACATTTCGTTCGTTTAAATGGCCCAACATTTTCCGCTCTGTTGTGCATTTTGTGACTTTTAATTGCAGTCCTCAATTACTGAATGGAAAGTAATAATAAATTGGACGCCACATGAACTCTGTTTGCTTCTTCTTTAACAGCTTGAATTTTCTTTAAACTGTTATTGCACGAAGTTGGCCAAAACAAATGAATTTCTGTGCTACCAAAACTACCAAAAAATTAAACCCGTTCAAAGTTATTGCAATTTAACAACTGCAAAAATTATTTAATTTTCCCCTGGCAATTTGTCAACTGGGTGTGGCCCCTCAAAAGCCCAGCACAGCCCCGACCAGCGCAGACCAGACCAGACCAACACACCAGCCAAGCTCCAGATACACACACTCAGCTGGCACATATAAAACTCGGTATATATAAATTATCATTGCCAGCCAAAACTCAAATACGATAAATTGCCAGGCAACCCAGGAGGCAGACGAGGCGAGCGCCAGCAGAGGAAAAAAATCTATAATTTACACAAAATTCGTTTCCGCATCCGAACGCTTTTCCAATATAAATTGTTCCCATTCCACGACATCGCATCGTTTATAACATATTCATATTGATGCCGCCAGATATGGCAATAATCGCATCGGACCCCTTAAATTGGCGACCTTAGCCAACCCTCGATAGGAACGATGCCAAATGACCAGGCAACGGGGTCCTCTAGTCCTCGACAACTTGGCAAGTGTTTTTGGTTAATTCCATTTATGTATTCTCCTCGTTGGCTGCCAGCATCTAGCCAGCCCTTTTCAGACTAATTGATAGTATTATTTCCATTAATTTTTGGCCATGATTGTAACTACAGTTTTGTAGTCCTGCCAAGTGGAATTTATTTTCGTAAACTACTATCTTGATTTGTTATTAAATATTTTAGTAACTCAACTCAAGAGCCTCAAGAGAGGCGTCTTTAAAAGCATTCCTTATTAAAAGCATTCTGTCAAAGTAAAGTAAAAGCCATTTTTGCCTGCCTTCCTACCTTCCTTCCTTCCTCTCTAATTGACACTTTCCATTAATTTCTGTTTCTTTTTGGCCAATTTTTGCAGCCACACCAACATTGAAGACTGCTAACTGGAATTGCTTCGAACCATCACCATCAAAACGAACAACAACCACAACAAAGTGCTGCCAGCAACAAACGTAAAAAACGTAAAAAACGTAAAAAGAAAACGTAATCAGGAATTTAAGCAAAACCAAAAAGAAACATCTGAGAGGCAGGAAGGTGCCTTCCGAAAAAAACATGTTTATGGAATTGTCATCGTTAGCGAGCAACTGACGCAACAGCTCAAGGCATGTGGCACCGGCAACATCTGCAGCATCAGCAGCAACACTGAGCGGCAGCAGCAGCAGAAGCAGCAGCAGGAGCAGTACTTGGCCAAAACAGCAGCCAACTAGGGAAGCGGGTAAGCCAGGAAAGCAACCTCCGTGGATAGGTGGTGTGCTGCTATAAAGCAGCACCATAGCTGCCATTAAAATAGACGCCGCGGCGCAACAGCAACGCTGCCGTCGTCACAATCAACGCCAGCGACAACATCACCCGCATCATCGCCATCGCAGACGACGACGTCGCAGCAGCAACACCAACAGCAGCAACAGCACTGGCGACGGCGACGACGGCGGCGCAGCAGCACTAGCAATAGCAATATCGCAGCAACACTGCAACCAGCAACATCAGCAAAGTGGTCGACGGCGACGCTACGACGGCCTGTCATCTGTAGGCAATGCAACGCGCTGTGCAGCAACGGTGAGTGCAAAGGACATCATATTTTTATAGTTTTTTTAATCGATTGGGGAGGTCCTGGAAAGCTTATAGGTATTGCCACTGAAAGTTCATTAAATAATTCCAAGAAACAGACATAAGTTGACCAAATATCTTTGAAAAGTTATTTTTAAACTCAAAAATAAATATAAATTTCAATATAAAAAGCAAGAAATGTTTGCAAACAAAAAGGCCATGAAAACGCTGCTATAATTGTCAATAATATGTTGGGGAAGTTGGGCCCGCAAGGACCCTGCCAAGATGGCCTCCGACGCGAAACTCAATTATCGCATCTTTACAAGTTACTTCCGAGAATTTCCCACGACCATTACGTGATCTCGTGTCAATCTTGCCATGCGATGCCAGCCAACCAGCAAACCAGCCAGCCAGCCGGGGGCCAATGGAAAATGTGAAAATCTGTGCCTCGACTCGGTCCTTCGCCTGCCCATTAGCTGTCAGGTTAATGCACCCAAAATGTTAATAAAACACAAACACACACACACACATATACAAACACACTGAGGGGCACATATGAATTTATGATAAGCACACGCAGGGGGCAAAAAAAAAAGTGAGGAATGGGAAACAGGCACTTTAAAGTTGCGACAGCGTGACGTGGGCAAACTTTCAGCGAGAGTCGTGCTAATGAATTCCCCAGCAGCACACGTTGTCTGTATATGTGTTGTATCTGTATTTGAGAATCTCTGGCTCTCTCTCTCTATATATATATATATGTGTGTATCTTGTATCTTTGTATCTGTGACTCTGACAGCGACAGTCGTATAATTTCTAATGCGATGCTTTTATGATCGCCCCACACAAACACTCGGGGAAAAACACCCACGGGTGCTGCCACGCACGTGCCCCAGCCTACTGCTAGGCTATACTATAACACGATGGTATCTGTTTGTGTGTGTGTGTGTGTGTATGTGTGTTTGTGGAAATTAAAATGCATAAAAGGATAACAGCAGTGCTGCTACCGACAAACCACAGGCCCACATCGAAGCCGTTGGCTGTCGCCAACATTGTCATTGTAGGCAAATTTCGCCAGAGACTGCATCGAAAAAAAAAACAAACAAAAAAAGCTAGAGCAGAAAAAAGGAGGATAAAACGAAAGCGAAAGCCCCTGACAAATTGTACTGCAGGGAAAATTGTGATTTTCGCGCTCATCAACGACGGCAGCAGCAGCAGCAACAACAACAATAGCCCAAAGTGCACGTGTTGCTGCGGTGCTGCGAAACGCAGGCCACGTCTGGTTTAATTTTAGCACCGGGTACGGGTTAGGGTCCCTGAGCTAAACCGAACGACGTCGCTGCCTACCTACCTTGACACTACAAAACGTAATACACACTGCATACTATTAGGCGCTCATAAAAAATGTAACGTTGTCGCATAAAAATAGATGCCAAACCCCAAACCCTCATCGTTGTTGTCGCTGCTGTTGCGGCTTAGTGAAGAATAAACCATGCATAATGCCCCCCAATGTTGTCGTCGCCATCATCAGCATCTGAGTTATAAATTTTTATATGATTTGAGCTCGTCTTGTATCATAATTACGCCTCTGTATGTGTGTGTGTGTGAGTGTATCTATGCCTGCTTAGGTATCATAATAAAATGTTGAACATTTTATGGACGTACTTCAAGTTTTGTGTAGCTAGTTGTTAGGACAAACTTGAAACTTCTTATCAGGAACACTGAGGAAAATAATATTTAAGTAGTTTTAGAAAGTTATATCAGTTTTAGCGAGAAATTCATTCAGCATTCGTTGCTTTCCAAGTCAATCTTAATATATCCGTTATCTTGTAGATACTCCATCAAAGATGGATATGAAAATCTGCCACATTGATGGCCAATTTTCTGACATTTTTTTCTGGGTGCAGGCTTTCCGAGTGTCTTCCTCTGTGATTGCGATTTCGATTGCGACTAACTGGAGGCACGTTTGGGCCAGGGGCCAAGGAAGCAGCGATTATTATTGGCAATCAAGTGGAGTGCCATCTTGCCTTTGGCTAGTTTGATCTCTGATTGCAGTCGGTGTGTCAGGAGGAGATAGTCGAGAAATTGCTCCAATGGGTAGCTTTCTGGCAGCCAGAGGCACATCGCACACTAGACGAATCTCACTCCCACTCCCATTCCATAACCCAAATGGAAATAAAATCAATCCGGCGGTGAGGTATCACAGGAAGCATCTCTCGTTGATAGAGAGTTAGCTTCGATAAAAAAGCAAAGCTTTTGGGTTAAATATTTTCACGTTCACTTCACGTGGCCCGTCATCAGTGGTAGTGTCATTCCCGAATTCCATATTACAGACCAGACAAAATCCAATCTCTGGGTTCCAGTCCGCCCTACACTCTCTACCCTGTTATGCAATCTACTCGCAGATCGTAACTCGTAATTCATAAGCCAGCAGCAGGAGCAGCAGCATGTAATATGCCTTCGATAACATTTTGCTCGTGTGACAAATTTTTGTCGCAACCGAAAGAATAAAACCAAAAAAAAATGCTGCAGAGAAACAGGAAAAGTTTGCCAGGAAGGGAGGCAAAAGGACCTCGGCTGGCAAAAGGACAAAGTGTTAAATGTTGACATGTCATGACATTCCAAAAGAGCAGGGAGATGGGCATGGGCCTTAGCCTCTTTGCAGAAGGGCTAACGAACGTAGGATGCTGGCTGGTTGGCTGGCTTACTGGCTGGCCTGGCCTGGCCAAAAGATGCTAGAGCTGGGTCCTGGTCAACGGGAATATATAGAAAGAGAGAGAAAATCGCTCGAAGGAGCGGCTTACGTGCTGACAGCTGACAGGCAAACCAATGAACTACGATATGACATGGCCGCCATTTTACCCCGCTCCTTTTCCTTAGGAATAACATTTACTGGGTGATAGTGTCTGTGTGTGTGAGTGTGCTCTGTTTGTGTTTGTGCGGAACATCAACTAATATTGTCAACGCAACATTCGACTTGTTATCCCTTCCGCTCGCCTGACTTCCTCTTCTTAATTTCGTTTTGAACTCCTCGTCGTCGGCCATTTTGTCTGCCTTCCATCTTGCCTCCCCTCTCTCTCACTCACTCGCTCCCTCTCTGTCTTTCCCAGTGTCGCTGTCTCTGTCAGTTATTTGCAGAAATTTATTGAAATTGTTTGTCAAATTCCGTTTACTTGTTTTTCGCATTTTGGCCAAAAAAATTTCCTTTTTTCGCCAGCACCGAAATGATGACAAGGACAACCAGACTTCCGTCGATGTCCTCTTGCGCCATTTTGCTTCCACTCCTTCGTCCTTCTTTCTTTTCTTAGTGTCTATGTGTGTGTGTGTTTGTTTGGCAGTTAATCTAAGAACTCGAACTTGCTATAGGGTCGCTCCGTGCCATATCAACTATAAGTTGGTCCTCACTGCGAGAAGTCCCCATCCTGCTATCCTTGTTTTTTTGTTTTTATAAGTTGGCGCTATAAAATGTTGCGCCATTTCCCATATGCACGCTGCTCTGTTTGTTTTTCTTGTTTTTCCTCTTTTTTTTTCTTAGCATGCAATTCTCGCATATAGCCGCTTACTTTTCGCCAAACGTCCTTTTTTCCCTCTTCATTTTAAGGACGAAATAAATAGGGCACAAGCATGTATATAAATATATTCAAGAAGCGATCCAAGATTTTATTGATGTTGCCTGAATTTGAATGACATTGTAAAATTATACGCAAATGTATGCAGCCACCAACGAAAAAAGACAAGTACTTCAGGCATCTCCATTACTCTGTATAAAGGGAAAACCAAAGCAAAAAAAAAAAGTTATGATGAAAATGGAAAGAAAATTTCGTGTTCTAAAAAGTTTTATGTGCATATCTATTACAGCTTCTGGGCTATATAGTATATGGTATATGTCACTTCGGACAACTGCCTTATGCAAACACTTACGAGTGGGTATTAGGGGCGTATGTCTTTGCATAAACCATAATCAAATTGTAAGTTTAGTGGCTGCCTCTAAGCCCAATTGGCTCCATATGTCTTACGTAAGCAGAGCTGAAGAGCCATGAAAACGTACATGAGTTTAGTTTGGTTGCTGTGAAAATTATTCACTTCATGTCCAGAGTTTAGAGACAGTAAATGATTTTATTTCAAAAAATTCATTAGCAAATCGTTTTAAACAAGAATAAGTTGTGGAATTTATTTGAATTTTTTAACTTTTTACGAGTAATAAACTTATAACTTCGAAACAAGCCTTCTAAGCTTAATTTTCCTCTTAAAATGATTGCCACTTTTTCAGATTTCGTTCCTCCAATCTTGCTGTTGCAGGCAAAATATCAGAATTAGTGTCTTTGACGGTGTCAAGTCTCTTTTTTTCTTCTATCCTTCAACCCTTTAAGCCCAATCTGAGGAAATGTTTTCCTCTTTGGCGTTAAGCAAGTCGTAGAGGGCGGAATGAAAATTGCACGATAACACGGCACCGAGCACACTCATCTAAATATAGGCTATGGCATAATAGGCTCAAGACGCTTCCATTCAACACTTTTTTAGGCAGCAGCATGAAATGACGCCAGCATGAAAGCCATTCACTCATACTCACACACACACATACACACTTCGGTGGAAAAGTGGAACTGAATGAATGGGCAAAAAAGGAGCCAAAGCAGCCAAGGATCCAAGGATCCAGGGATCCAAGGAGCGGGCCAAAGAGGAGTAATCGACACACGCACGAAAGACAAAGGCCAAGAGCGAGAAACAAAACAAAAAAAGCGAACAGAATAAAAATGAAACGAACCCCTTTCAAATTTCCATCGGATTTTCTTTGTTTTTCCGGGTGCCTTTTTTTTACCAACTCCCGCCGCCGGACAAAAGGTGGCTGCGAGCTCTCATTTAGACGAATATTTTTTTTGGCCAGGTGAATGGGAAAGCCCAGAAATCCCCGAAACAAGTGAAAAAGTATTGTGTGCCAAAAATAAAAATGTCAATTTGCCAAATGTCGGCGAACGGAAGTTTATACTCCGAGCTCTCGGGTGCAGGTAGAA